GCTTAGCGCTGGCATCTCCGAACTTCGGGCGACATTTTAAAGTGTGGTAAGACCGATCTATCCGGACAGCAGCAAAGATCACTATATTGAAAGCTGCTGTCTTCTCAGTCTTGAGATGCAGCCTTGAAATATCAACCCTGTTAAATCGCCCAAAATGATCAGGCACTTCCGCGTCGCTCTCTGCGAGCTTTCTGAAATAGGTGGTTCCATAGAAGGAAAAATGAAAAGATGTTGGAGACGACCGACCCGGTCTGAGAATTCTGTTTGAAACAATCAGATGCCGAAGCCAGTCGAGGTTTGGCAAAACTATCCTTCGAGACGATGGAGACTGTTCAAAGCCAGTTTCGTCTGGTCAGCAAAGAATGGCCAAAAATGCGTCGGATGTCGCCTCCATCCCTTAAAGCAGCTGTTAGAGGCGGGCTGGCTTGCGAAAAGAATATAATCTGGGCCGCAGCAAACAACATCGCCTAAATCATTGAGAATGCTAAAGCGTAAGACATTAAAAGAGATATCCAGCCCTTGGCCGTGGTACCTCAGATGATAATGACCAACAACAGCTGATGGAACTGAAATTCAACGGTAAGTTGATTGAAAAAGTGGTGTTTGAGATGTCGCCGAACGAGACACCGTTTCTGGAACGCCCGACTCGAGTAATGGAGGAGGGTGTTCTGCAGTTCGTTCTAACAGTTTCAGCTGTGACAGTACCTCCGGCCTGATGAACGCGTTTGACCTCTACAAGGAGATCGACAATATTGGCGCCGCCATCTTGCTCACTGACGCCCAGGACGACTGCATGAACGTGCTGTGGACGCTGGTGGATACCGTGACTGAGGTACTCCGCGTCTGCGCCTACATCCGCTTCAAGGTGTGTTTATCCACGAGGTAGATTGTCTGTCGGAGGACCAAAAGATCGAGACATTGTGTGACATCTACGGATGGTAGACGAGAACCTGGAAGGTACGTAACTCAACATCTACGATTGGACCACAGGGATTGTTCCATTTTTCGGGGCGTTGCGATATTGAGTTTCCTGGACAGAGTCTACGCAATGGCGCTAGCAAGTAGGTGCCGCGGAATAACTGGCTCCACAATACAAGAGAAGAGAGCTGTGTGGCTTCCGGTCTGGCAGAAGTACAGCTGACCAGATATTCGCCTTACCCAAGATTGTTGAGAAATCATGGGTGTTCGCTTACCCGGTTTACTTGTGTATAGTTGATGTAGAGAAAGCCTGTAAAACACGAAACAAGCTAGGCGGTGTTTGCAAACTTATGGGATGGATGGCCAGTTGCTACGAAGACGGCAGGTGCTGCATCAGAGTAACTGACTTTAAGCCGTGGCACTGGTCTGTGTCAAGGCTGCATCCTGTCCCCTATCCTGTTTGTGTTGTAAATGGATAGAGTAATCAGGAGCTGCCAAGGCGATGAGGGTATCGGTGTAGGAGATGTGAGGTCGAGAAGGCTGCTGTTTGCAGACGACCTTGTTTTATTAGCACCTTCTGAAACTGATCTCCAGTGCTCCTTAGAAAGGTTCGCAGCCGAATGCGACGTGACCGGCATGCGTGTGAACGCATCCAAAACGAAAAGCCTAGTACTTTCTCGTTCTCCTGCCCGCTCTCTTCAGATTAACGTAGAAGCAGTGAAGCACGTGGTAAAGTTCAAGTACCTCGGGGTTGTGTTTACTGGTGATAGAAAATTTGAGGAAGAGATCAGCAGCTGAAGTGGAGTAACCAGTGGCGTTCGGCGTGATCTGCTTCGAACCGTTATGAGTAAACATAGCTGGGTTTGAAAACTAAGCTCTCGGTGTTCAAGTCGATCTTTATCCCCATGCTTACCTACGTTCATGAATCGTGGACTATGACTGAAAAAACATTGATCCCGGGTACAAGCGGCTGTAATGAGTTTTCTGAAAGTAGTCGCTGGCGTCTCCACGTGGTTCGGAGTACAAGTATCCCAGAGAGCGTTTTTGTACAGCCGCTGTTTTTGCGGATTGCGAAGTCACAGCTCAACGGTTTGTGCTCGTCTGGCGAATGTTTTCAGAAGACAAAGTGAAACAGCTACTACTTACGCAACCTACCTTCCGAGGACGGCGGTGATGGGGAAGAATAGCCTGGGCAAGTGTTTGAAATGACTCTGCTCGAGACTCAGGTTTTCTGGTGTCGAAGCTCAAAATCTGGTACAGGATCAGGGACATTGGATACACTGTCTGCCTCCGCGATCCGAAACAACAAACGGTCATTAGAATTATTTGATGTTTTAGGAGTATTTGTTTACTGCGATTGTTACCGTACTAAACTGTTTATTTTATACGCAGCGGAAAAGGTGGTCAATCAGAAGATTGATCGATGGCGATGTTTCTACTCGTGTTTCACGGGCGTTCTTCAGGGTAAAATTGCAGGTCAAGTTCGTAAAGATCTAAGAGTTCTTTCGGATCGACACCTGGTCATGAGTTTCTAGGAGAGAGGCGAGCTTTTAGTTCATGCTGCTGGCTATAATCAGCAAGGCTCATCAAATAAGCGTACAATTTGTACCTCTCTCCCAGTTGACGTTGTCGTTGAAATGAATGAATTTTGTTTCTTCCTTGAAGCACCTCTTCTGCCAGTATCTTTCCTTAATTTAATACTGATACACTTGACTTAATAAAGTGTTACTAACATTGTTGACATTACTGTTAGTCATCAGTAAATTTCTTTAGCAGATATTTCATCCAAAGAAGGTACAAATTTATTACGCAATCCTATCATTAACTGTATATCTGTTAATTTTTGTCAATAACTGGCAGAGACAAATTATTTCTCTGTCGATGATGGGATTTTCAAACAGACCAAAGGAGCACATACGGACCAATCACTTTCCTCCATACTTGCCAAGATTTTCATGGAATACTGAAGACTTCACCCGGGGCATGAATTTCGACATGTTTCCATGAGTTTTCAAAGATAGGTAGGCGATGTTTTCCGGTTTTCCCTCTGGTTGATAAACGGAAGAATTTAACTTTTTGAATGGCATGCTCCGTCAAAATATCGAGTTAACTATTGAAAAGGAAAATAATTGTAGCTTGTCTTTTCTTTATGCTTTCAAAATTAACTCTGGTAACTGCTACAAAACTAAAGTCCATAGTTAACCTATGAATAAGTAAGTACTTAAATTTTAAATCATGTAATAACAAACGATCAGTAGTTACACCCTTGACAAGTAGAACTCTCAAACTCTTTAGTAATGAATTTTTCAGAAAAAATATAGCATACTGAAATACCTTTTTCATAGTGTGTTGCCTTTAACAGGTTTTCAATAATCCACTCAACTGCTTATCCATGTAATAATAACTACACCGTAAAATTCTTCATCTTCCATCGGTGCTTCTTTCGGATCGCGGAGGCAGACGCGTCAGACAGTGCCTCCAACGTTCCCGATCCTGTACCAGAGTCTGAGCTTCGGCAAAAGACAAATGCAGTCTCGAACAGACTCCTTCCATATGTTTCCACCAGGTTAATTTTGGCCGTCCCCTGGACCTTTTGCCGGTCGGATTGCAAGGAACAGTTGCTTAGCCTTCCTTTCTGGAGGCATTCGCAACACATGCCCAAGCCATCGCAGCT